CTACTAATTCTTCTTCTTTTTATTATTATTAATTAATATAATCTCTTTACAAGTCTTTTAGGTCTCTTTTTCCTCTTATATAATTTTTAACTTATTCTACTCCTAAAGCTCTTAAATAAATATAAGCTCCTTCTCCTTAACTTTAAATTTAGTAATATATATAAATCTTATTAAATCTTATATAATAGATATATTTAGTGCCTCTCGTCGATAATAGTAAATATCATACGCGGAATTAAATAATTACTTAATATTAGTATTAGTAGCTAGGATTAAGAGGAGATTATAAACAAAACTTATAAATATAGGAAATTTATATTAATAATCCTTCTAGAACTAATAAAATAGGATTAGGATAGTATCTAGATAAAGAGCGGATTATAATAATTAGTATAATATTTAGATAGATTAGAACTAATATCTTTATTAAAACTAGGGTTCTAAGATAGGCCTTAAAACCCTAGTTCTAATAAAGATAGAAAGATAGAAATTTAATAGATTAGAACTAGGGTTTTAAGCGATTACTTAGAACCCTAATTTTAATAGAGATATATATAGAAATTTACTTTTTTTAATATATTATATTATCCTAGACTAGGAGCTTAAGATAGAAGAATTAGCTATTAAAAATATATTAAGTTTATTAGTTTAATAGGACTATTTTATTTTAGATAGTAATTAAGAGCTTAGAATATTATTAGTTTAGTAGCTTAGAAGCTAATCCTTAAGATTTTATTAGTATTAGATACTATAATCTATTTAAGGATAGTCCTAGTCTTTAGTTTAAAAAAATTTAATCTTATACTAAAGAGCTAAGATAATACTAATTATATAAATATTATTAAGCTCTTTATTATCTATTATAGAGTAATACTTATAGAGTTTACTTTTAGCTAATTTAAGGGCTTAATATATCTATTATTTCTATCTAACCTTTTTTTTATTAAGCTATCTAATTAATCTTTTAAGATAATTAAATAGCTTATTATAAATAGCAAAGATAGTATAAATAATAATATCCTTTATTTTTAAGAAGGCTATAGTAAATTAGAAAAATAGTTAAATAATATTAAGAAGGTAATCGATCTAGTATTATTTATCTATATCGATTTTAAGATAAGGATAATTATATTTAAAGTAAAATTGATTAAAGACTAATTATAACTATTTTATATACCGGAGTATTAAAAAGGTTAAATTCTATCTAATTTAGATATCTTAAATTAGAACTAATTAAGAGTAGTCGGGTTAGAGACTAAAAAAGGACTCCTAACGTTAAGGGCTTATATTAATAAAGATTATAAGGTTTCTAATCTAAAATATAAAGTAAGTTAGTATTTTAACTAATATATAAGAAATATAGATATATACTTTTATAAGAGTTATTGTAATATCTTATTTTTATATTTTTTGATAGATATATTAGATATATTCCTCGGACTAAATAGTCTTAGTTATCTTATTTTAAGGGTTCGCTTTTATCTAGCTAAGTAGTTACTTTAAATTTAACTAAATTATATATATAATATATAAAACCTAAATAATTATTATTTTAGAGTTAATATCTAATAATTAAATAGAATCTTAGATACTTAAATTAAAGATAGAGTTATTTAATATATTATTAGTTATTATTATAAATACTTAGTCTTCGATCTAATATTTCTAGAGGATATCAAGGAAGGCTATACTAAGATTCTACCTAGAGTATATATTAGAAATAGGTTTAAAGCTAAATAAAACCTTTTAATAATTCTAGTCTATATTAATAAAAAAGCTAGAGATAACTATAAAATAATTATTATAGCGATTAACTATTACTTCTATAGCTCTTAGATAACTAGCTAGACTATTTAAAAGAAGTTCTTAGCCTAAGAAAGATTAGCCTATAAATTAAATAATAGCTATATAATATATTATATATTCTATAAAATATTAGATTATTAAATATTTAATAATATTTTAGCCTTTCTAATATATACTATAATTCTAGTAATATTAGAGATTTATTATCCTATTTTTAGTATAGACTAGATAGTCTATAACCTTATTATATCGCTTATATAGGAGCTTTAGCTCTCCTATTACTAAATATATAACTTAATTAAAATATAACTATATATTAATCTATTATAGATCTTTCTAGTTTATCTTTTTTATAATATTATAAAAACCATTAATTTAGGTATTAAGCTACTAGTTTAAAAATTCTATTTTATTTATATTATTAAAAATTACCTAAGTCTTTTTTTAATCGTTAGATTATTTTAGTATTAATAATATAATAAAAGAGAGGCTTTACTTAGTTTATTAGCTTTCTAGTAGTTCTAGAAGGATATTAAGAAATTAATTAGAATAGAAAATAGATAACTTAAACCCTTTACTCTTAATAAAAAAGGAAGGGTATAAGATAGATAACTAAGATATAGAAGAGATATAGTAATAGTATATTAAAGTAAAAGACTTAAGATATAGAAAAATAATCTAAGATAAATTATTATAGATTTAAGGGAATATATAGATCTAATACTTATTTTTTATTAATAGATAAGATTTAGTACTATCCTAGTACTAAATTTTATAACTAATTAGAAGATACTCTACTAATATATATAAAGCTTATTAGATAGTAAGAAATAGATTAATAGATTAGCCTATAGATTAACCTATTAACCTAAATAATTAGGTAAGAGTAATACCCTAAAACTTTTATTTTTATCCCCTAAAAGTTTTAATCTAACTAGCTAATCTTTTTATATAGATATATTAGAACTAGGGCTATAAATAAACGCGTAGATAGATTAAAACCCTAGTTTTAATAGAGGTAGAAAGACTACTATAAAAAGATATATATTTTATTATATCTAATAAAAAAGGGACTATATAACCCTTTTATAGTAAGAGACTTAAGATATAGAAAAATAATCTAAGATAAATCATCGTACAATTCGTATTTACCAGAGGGGTGCCGTTTCCGGCAACCCCCCTCTTGGGTTTAGCGCCCGTCCGTCCTGGCCCCGGTGTGGTTTAGCGTCACCCCGATCAGGGATGGCGTCCTGCGCTATCCCCCAATGGGTACTGCCGCCTTTCTCCGCCTTCACGGGCCCTCGTCAACTATATAATCCTACCGGTGCGTCGCTCGATCTCTCCTTCCCATGTCCCTACGCTGATCCTCAAACGGTTCCCCTGAGGCCGGATGACACTGCTCCGACTGCTGCCACTCGGAGATGACCGTTCTCACAAATGCACGCTCCGCCCCCTGCTCCCCCCACCTGTGTCGCTGCTAAGGGACGCTGGCGTCCACTAACTTGTTCGACATCGCGAGCGTGAGTCGCTGATCTTTCCTGGAGGGTGTGATGGTACGGTATGACTGGCGGCATTTCTTCGCCCGTCTGAGCCCTTCCCCCCTCCAAAATTGTTTGCTGGGCCATTTCCTGTTGCCTATGTGAGCCCCATTCCAACCCTTCCCTAAGGCGTTCTTTCATTCAAAGGTCCGCACAGGGACCCATGTCTCGTTTCCAAGCCAAGGATGATGACGTGTTGAGGAGGGGTCTGCATCTGCTCCGCGCATCGTGAATGCCAATAGCAGATATCCCTCATGTGTTCCATTCCTGTCCGAAGGCCCGCGCAGGAGCCGTGTCTCACTTTTGAGACGAGGCGATGACTTTTCGACGTACGTGCAGTGTCCGCACCTGATCAATGCACCGTGAAAACCAATGGCAGAATTGCCTCATGTGTCCCCCGGGAGTCTCCCGTCTGCTTAGCCGTTCAAGCGCCCCGAAGGTTAACTACAAATGATCACATGCGACAAGGCTGTGCAGCGGGCTGCATGACGACTCCATCGAACCAGCTGCGAAAAGATCCGGTTGGTGGATAATGATGTGGTTACTCTTGAGGCCCAGGGTGAGGATGCTCCTACGCGAAATTGCGGTGGTTGGCACCCGAGATTATGTCGACTGTTGTGCTCTAAGTACGGCTGACGTGTAGATGCTGGCCCTGATTCCCGAGAAAACCAAAGGGATTGATCCACCAATCTGGCCTATGAAGGCATCGGTATGTTTAACGAGTTCGACCGAACCGCCCCCATTATCCCTTCTGCGAATCGGAAATCTTTTTGCATTGCCACTCATGAGTGTGAGACCAGTGACAGCTATAGGAAAGGGCGGGTCATGGTGCGAAGCGAAGCGGGCCCCCCTCATGGAAAGGGAATATTTCCTTGCTTAGCGCTAGGCTCGAACGTGGCCCTATGGCGATGCGCTGATACAGCGGTGCTCCTTGGCGATGTTTTCAGAAATGACTTATGTTGTCTTATAAGCACTTCTCGGCCCTTTCACATTTCTTTGTGTCATACTTCATTTCCCTTCTAAAGAATTTCGACGCCATGCATATCTCCCTTGATAACATTACCTTCTACTCTCATCCCCCTCCTACCAAGTCCCCGTCACGTGCCTTCCCTGTTTCCCGCTGGAAGCCATATGAGACTCCTCTTGCTCCACAAGCTCTTTCACATACACCCTTACCCAGACTGCCTTCCCCTAGAACTACGACCACTCTAGCTTCTGATGCGAGGCCAGATGCTCCCGCGAAACTTTGGGGCCCCGTAGGGGCAGGTTCAGGTTTGCGTCCAGTCAGGAATGAATTTGATATCGAAATAGAGAGGATGTCTAGGGCAGAAAGTGAACAGGCCGCACACGAGGCAGGCCTGGGCATACATCCCGACTCAGGGCCCCGAAACGGAAATGTTACAGACATAGCTCAAACTCAGCGCACATCTTCGGTTACTGGTATATCAAACTACTTATGGAAATGTTCTTAGTGAACTTAGCTAACGTTATCCACCAGAGCATCCAGACCAGTGGATGTGCTCTTTGGCAGAGGCTGTCGGTGACTCTGATCCGGCTTTATCATATCTGCATCAACCTGGTTAGCGTGACTATAATCCCCCTTTCGAACTATTTCCCTAACAAATGATAGGCCTTCCCGTTGCCCCGAACGACAGAATGGGATTGCATCAAGACGAGACTACGTCGTTAAGAACTTGCGACGAGACCGACAGGTATTCAGCTCCGCTCGGGGTCACATCTACTTGCGCGCGTATCTTGCCATCACCCTCATCGGATTCGATGGGAAATGTATGGCACTCACAAGCGGAGTCTGGCGCTGGTGCCATCATGCGCGACGACTCTGTCATGGATATCACGAACTCCACACCAGGAAGCCGAGGGGATCGGGCGGGCGACCAGGGGGAGACGCTGGCCACAATACAAGGTGTCCAAGCTGACCGTCCCTTAGTTAGAGAGGCGAGTCTGGGTGATAACGAAAGAAACAAACCCAGCAAAGAAAGTCAAGCAGCTGGATCCCCCTCTCTCAGACCGCAATCTCGTCTGATCAAACAATCGAAAGTCACTCTGACAAGCACCCGTTCCCTCCGTCCTCGGCCAAATACAGAGTCTACCCGGCCAGAGCAATTGCCCTCTGTTTCCGTGGTTATCCCAACACGTCGGACCGGTCAATCAGTGGCAAGCACCAAGACGAAGCCTTCAACTGTAGCACGGCGTTACGGCCATTGGGGCGGCAGTGACAGCGGCAATCCCAATGATGATCAGTCAACGCAAGCCTCGATAGAGGACTATTCACCATCACCGGGGATATCAAGTCCTAAGACAAGAGGACGCCCACGAAAAAGACTGAAGAGAGGAACAAGAAATAACTCAGCCTCGACGAACAACATTGTTGGGGGATTTAATAGCCAAACCCAGAACAGGTCGAACGGTGGTTCTGCTGTCACCCTGGGTAAAACACAAGAGATCTTCGGCCGCGGAGTCCTCCGTATCCAGAACCACGGCCCTCAAAATGCTTATTTTATAACGTTCCTTCCAGAGGTTACTCAGCTCCCGTCTCCGCCATCACCATCCAAGATGCCTCCTGATCAGTCGTCACTCGCTGACGATAACTCTGAGGATGAATCATTACCACAAGTGGTACGTGGGAGACCACATAAACGAACAGTGCCCACAGCGTGTGAGGACGGAGATGTGTGGTCGACCAGGCATTCGACGAAATCGTCACGAAACCCGCGATCTCGGGATTATCGTCACGAGGCCCAACGAAAGCCCAGGAGGCGCTTGCGGTGGTCTTCGGACGAGGTGGATTTTCTGCTGAAGTTAAGAAGGGATGAGGGACGACCGTGGTCAGAGGTGGCGAGGTTATTTTTGGACCGGTATCCGGGAAGAAGCCCTGGTTCAATCCAAGTATACTGGAGTACGGCAATCAAGAAGGCAAGGCAAATTTTAGTTATAGGAGCTGCAAAATAAAATGCAGCATGCATCCAAGTCTATTCACCAAGAACCTTACGGTTACACCATGATGTATCTTCATCCATATATTTTATCTTTGGACCGGCAAAGACAAGTCTTGCTTCTTAGCCTATTGCCCAAATATCATTTACATCATTGACAACAAACCTTTCTCCATCCATCCAAATAAAGCAGTAGTCACGGTCTGCGAGTAGGTCTAGACTTCCAGACTTCCGACTTTTCGCTCAAGCACTTGCTTTGTGACTTTTGGTGAATCTGTTTGTTGCGCCGGGCGGAGCAGGCCGTGTCTATGCCAGCTCCCACTCCTTCGCATCAGCTCGGATTCTTCGCTTCACTGCCGCAGTGAGCCAGATACCTCTTCGATCGTGCTCGGTATCGTGTGGTCCTATTCCTAACTAAATCTTAACTCGATATACTTCCCAGGAGCTGTAATAGCCTAAATACTAAAATAGATGGCCGATATCTTTTACATTTGGGATATATATTAAATAAGCCCGAGTACGTTTAACAAACCTCAGCCCTAATAAATAATTACACTAAAACTAATATTCTTAAGAAAATATACCACCCGTTACTTAAAGCCCTACTTCCCGATTCGTCAACCCCCATTGATAGCAAACGTTGAGGTTGCGCGACCGGATCACACAAGATACGAGAAATGATTGGGTTCCTATTAACAAAGAGGGTTGATTGCGAAGATCCAACTAGGTACATGAATGAGTTTCCTTATATACCCTTGCCTTCCAGGTAGTAAATATAGCTGGTAGATGTTCAGTCGCAGTTTGGATATATGCTCATCGTATATCACCCTGGTCACGTGCAGTTACCATAGTTGAAAGTTTCAACTTGAGCCTGATGGCGCGATCTTATAGCAACGCGATATCATGCTGTTTCTTGGACTGCCCTTTGCCACCTGTAGCTTATAACTACTCAAATCCACCAGAGGGCGATTCAGAGGGAGGCTTCTGTTTGTAGCGAAACTTCGAGGTTCCATCATCATGGAGATGTCCCGTTCCTACCCTCTTTCCATCAGCGTCCAGAAACTGGATAGAAATGACCTTCTTTGGGTCGGTTGGGTCCTTGTGCGATGGGTGTAACTCCGTTCCCTGGATCGAGGCTTGTTTGATACGAGGATCCTAACATGAACCGGTTAAACAGATACAGCAGAGGGTGGTGAAGGATGACATACCCGTGTTTCCTGATCATTGCAATACTTGTCAACAAGGGTCATGTGATCTGCGACCGTGAAGTCGCTCAATTTGACCTTCCCAACGTAGGAAATAAATCGGCGGATGATATGGGACATCGTGAAATAAGAATAGCTAGACTTTGGGCTTGGAATGATTGGAGTAGAAGGTTGTGGTTTGCTTTCACTGATGAGACGAGGGGTCAGCGCTGCTCTTAAATATTGCAGCAGAGCGGTAATCTAGCAGAAGAGCTGACTACTTAGGTTACAAGGTTGGGCTTTCAACCATTTTTGCTGCCTGGGCGCTTCCTGAAACCAGGGAGTAGGCCTCAGCGTCTCGCTGGGGCTCGAACTTAACAAAAGGGTGTAAGCGCCGGACACGGGCGCTTTCAGTTTCATGTTATCTATGTGGAATTTTTGCCCTGATCCACTAAGAAAAATCACGGTTGCAAGTCCTGGACGCGATGACCACGAAAATTTTGACCTAACCTAAAGCAGCCATGGATCCTCGAGTAGCTGTCTTGCCGTCCTGCGCTCCTCTGGCAGCCACTTAAGCATGGATCTCATAAAACAAATAAACAGCTCTTTCTCGCTGCCCGAAAGTCGCACATCCAAACTTTCTAGTGAAACCGGGGGTACGGCGGCATCTTGATGTGCAATCCAAGCGCCTATAAGCACGTCAGCACAAGGATTCCGGCTCTGCCAAAGAAAAGCTCAACGCGAAGTTAGGGTGCTTACCACTTTGATCAAAACATTGCTCCGTTGTCTCGCTGCGCTGGACAAATTCGGTCGGCGGTGACCCAATCAGGGCGACCATAAGTGCAAGGTGCTTGAATGGGTCATGGCCGCCTTTGTTGTCGAAGATATCTCCAAAGAGATGTTTTCCTTCGAAGAGGTCCCAAATCTAACCATTATCAGCGAGATAATATAGCGTAAGAAATAGGGGTAGCAGTACACTTACCAAAGCTCCTAGGTTCCAAATATCGACAGCACTTCCCCATGACATCTCGAATATAACCTCTGGTGCCCTATATATATGGGGCTGCACAAAGGGACCGGATTCGTGATTCTTCCCAATTCTTGCCTCGCCAAAATCACAAAGAATTGGGAGACCATACCCTTTGCCTCTAACGGGTCGGCGAAAATGTCGGCTTTTATAAACGGTACGTATCTCATCTATTTTCTTCCGAGGGCTAGGTTGGTCAGCCTCTTCTTTCGCGAAATCGGCTAACATAGTGTCATCCTCTAGGCTAAGCATCAGGTTGTCGGTCTTTAGATCTAGTTCAAGTCAGTAAAAATGTATCGTGACTTCGAATTGGGGCTAATTACCAGTGTGGGTTATGCTAGCTTCGTTATGTAAGAAGTCAAGCGCCAAAAGTAGTCGTCTTAGTGTCATTTTAAGGAGGGGTACGTCGAATGGCCTCGGGTTCAATCTCATCATCTCATGTACTGTCATGTACATTGGTTGAAGAACGAGGCATCGATGTTTGCCAGCAAGCCCCTGGAGATCGAATGAGTCGTAAAGTTCTCGGATTAGCGATTGTCCTGGGTGCGCCGAATCGAGTTTCGCGAGATGCTCGTAGATCTTGAACTCGCGATCGGTCGCAGTGGGAAACTTTCGTAGCGAGGTTGACACCTTCAGCACTCGATACTTATCATTTCTGGAGCCATATTAACTGATAATTCCTCGAATTAATGCTGGTTACGCACCGAAGATCTCGGCATAGCCAACTTGTCGAGTAAGCGCCGTAGCCAAGCTTGCCTGCGACCTGATACCTGTCCTTGAACAGGTCTCCGATGTGCACTGGGTAGAATTGCTCAGGTTCATAGTAGGGGAGGGTCTCCTCATCAATGGGCATTTCCGCTGGTAGGATGGTGAAAGAGCTGTTAGAGATCGCTTTAGAGTAAGCTGGCTTTTTCCTGAGGGCGTGCCTCCAAGCGCTCAAGCGTGACGCCATGTCTGGCGTTTTGTCCTGAGACGCGGCGTTGTATACAAAAGTCGACAATAAAAAAAAAAAGGAATGTGAGCAGGGTTGGGGACGTTTAAATTGTTCGCTGAATTCCGTAAGAATAAGTCGCAGGAGGCTGCGGGTGCAAGCCTTAGGTCACATGCCCAAATCGATTCAGCTCACGTGGCTTTCGAGATTAGCCGGAGAGAACTTAGGCTAACAACAGTACAGCTGCGGTAGAGCTGCATGGCCTTGTTTAGTGGTTTTACTTGGACTATAGTATTTAAGGGTTCTTGTGGCAATGAGCGGACGTAACTGTGGGCTTGATATGGGATCCTTGAAGTGTCTAGTCAGTTCGCGTAATTTGCGAGCTGTAAATAGGTACAATGACTTTGCGATAGGAACGTGACGTTATATGTAATCCACGCATCCGAAAGTCGGTCATTAATATCACCCACCATTAGGTTTTCTTTGTCTGCTCAGAATTGATCAACCAGGATATTCGCAGCATTTCCTTCTTCTCGATGCCAAATCTTTCCTTAAAATATATCCAATCCACGAGCTCTTTGGCCTGACAAATCTTAAAATGAAGATATACTCGGTCCCGTACGCATTTCGTTTCCCCATGAACCCAATATCCACAACGGACAAGTCCGGTAGACCCGTCATAATACTTGACCTGGAAAGCCAAATCTGGTTTGTCGACTGACTCATGATCGTATATAATGCCAAGGTACCTCTTAAATTGTCTGACTTCGGCGAGCAGACGGATATCCAGCTGTTTTGGCTAAGACAGGAAAATTCAGGTAAATTATCGGGATAAAATAGAATGTCAATCTAAAGGGACTTACTTACTGTCAGACCAGAAGGCATTCCCATTCGTTCGATGTCTGTCATTTCGTTGACAGGAAAAGCGTCTCGAGAAGTTGACCGAGGCTGGCTGAACTTGATAGGCAGCATTCCTAATTTTCCAGGGGCGTGATACCGCTTTTTGGGGAACCTGAGGAAGCTCAATAGTACTTTCGCTCAAGTGAGATTGCGTAGAGCGTAAAGACTCGGTTCGAGAAGCGTCTAAAGAATTGTAGGGTTAGACAAAAGAGTAATATGTATCCCTATGGAGAGAAGCGTACCGGAAGTGTCTTCAAATGACTGACGGTGAGAATTCCTTTCTATATCGGCTTGATGAAGACCAGTTGATGGAGGTTTTATATCCGTCGGTCCACATGCGGTATCACCAGTTCGCATATCCAGTGGCACCTCCTGGTCATCCCAAAACCCTTCATCGTTGTCTGTGAAGGGAAGAAGAAATTGAAGCCATCGTGGAAGCAACGCACGTAGCGACTCGGTGGGGAAACAGGCCATTATGGGCCTTAAACAAGCCGATGTTAATTTTCTGTTTCACGAAGTGAAGGCTTCTTTATTGTAAAAAGGCTTCGATTCTAGCCCCAGAGTATGATACAACTATTACATAGTCTATTAACTTGTGCATCCAAGAATGGTCTGGGAACACCCCTTTTTCCAATTACTATTAATTCTCACATGAAAAGTCCCCTTTAACAATCGACGAATTTATTTACTTTCAGGCCGAATTGGCAATTAGCCTTGAAGGAATTATTGCTCTGAGATTCCATCTTGCACTTTATAAGGAAAGATCTTCCCTAGATAGGATTACCGAAGACGCTGAATTGGTTATACAAGCCTGCGAGGATCTGCAACGAATCTGGGACGAGGACAACACACAAGTCTAAGTGAATGTCCTACCCATCAACGGATGGTGATCTAGAGCCCGAATTACAGTTTCTTTTCCTTCTAGCTCCTTGGAGCTGATTATAGAGTGAAAATCAACATTGCTCCCCTTGCTAGCTACTTATATTATTATTTACCAATTACTATGTCTCTGCATTGGCTACGTCGAATGAAGAGGTTATGGACTTAAGGCACGTGGCTAAGACTTCTTCTAAATATGCATGTTATGATCCTACCAAGAGAACGTATTGGCGTGGAAAAGAAACAGACTTAGGGTCATGGATACCTATTCACCTACACTTAACCAGGGGGCCTCACTAGACGCGCGTATTGTGTGGCTCACAGCAAAAAATCAAAGGAGTTTTTGAACTCATCAAATGGGAAACTCTGTCGCATGATCTCCTGATATCGACGATGGAGTGTTTGCCAAACTGCATTATCATTGCACTGTCGGAGGAAAAAAACGAGGCCCTCTGATGGCAAGGAAGATGATGTATCAAAATGCCAAGTTATCAGAGATAGTTTGAGAAGAGTGGTGTAGTCGAGAGATTTCACGAGTGTCTTCACAGCGGCAGACAGAAGGTCATTGTCCAGGGTAGCGTTGTCCTCGCTTTCCAGAGCTTGGCAGGCCCGCAGAACCAACCCAGCATCTTTGCTAAGACGTTCTAGGGAAAATCTTTCCCCATAAGGCGTAGGGTGGGTTCTCAAAGCTAGCAGCGCTTTTAAAGCTATTTCTGCCGGAAAGTAAAAAAATGCAACCGTTGGGGGAGAAGCCTTCTAATGTGAGAATGAATAATAATTAACTATAGGTGTGCTCAACTAACCTTGTTCATACATTCTTCACATTTCCCACAGGGCTGCTTGAACAACTGGGGGACCGACGTGATACCCGAGCAATCGTCTTTAAAGCATGGAAGTACACCCGAAACCTCCTGGAAGGGTTCGCCCTGGGCATCTTTGCAATTCTCGTAAACGTAGCATATTCTTCGGCACATGGCGGTATAGGTATGAGCGTGTCTGTATTTCCAACTGAGAAATACAAAAGTGGACGAAGTGGCAGTGAGCTTTCACATGAAGTTGATTAATGCACAACGGGCCTTTTGTATTTGAGGGCGAGAAGAGATACGCAGTCCTTCACAAGCTTCTTCCATAATACTCAATGCCAGTTGGAGAAGCGGGATATGTGGAATGCAGGCCATGACTAGCTTTCTTAGCTAATAGCCAGAATTATCCCGACTCGCGATGGAGATGGTCTAATAATTGTCCATGGCCAACGTAGGTAGTCTGAACTATTTCCAGCATTACAACCAGGGCTTTACCCGAAGTCTGAGAAAAACGAGACTGGTGCGATCGTCCATTTCATAGCGCCGCATCCCATTAGCGCTGCATCCACCGATCCAACACGTCGTGCATGATACCCCTGTCTAGTGGGCACATTTTGCGAAAATGTGCCCACTAGACAGGGGTATCATGCACGCTAACTGCGTCCGAGCGCTGTCAGCTTGAGGGACTACGGTGAACGATCACCACCAATTTTGCAGTCATCCAACTCATCGCCTATTCCCTTTTTCCCCCTTGGAGACCTCAAGAACTCTTCCCTTCGGATATTGTTAAAATGTCTGAAATCGAGGCAATTGTACAGGCTACTCACGTTCTGTCAGGGCTGTCTGTTATAAACATTCAAGACCTGCTTCCATACCAAAACAAATTAGAGAATACGCTGCGAATCCTCGAGCGAAGCCTGGAAGCTATTCAACGCCGGTCTTCGCAGCTCAGTGGCAGCGTCAAGCCTTCGCTCCGACCATATTCACCGACATCCTCTCCTGATCCTCAACCACCATTTCAGCATGGCAGCGACGAGCCTTCTCCCCGGCCATCTTCTTCTTCCCAACCCTCGACACCGCGCGCCGATGAAAGGAACAGTTTGGTTTCTGACGAGAGCGAAAATCTTGGTTCGGACGCTCGAAGTCTATTACAGGCGCTAGGTGATTCCAAGCGGTCCAAAAAGATACTCGATTACTTATCTTCGGGCTCTGATCCAATAAATGGAAGTCAGAATGACTGGATCCAGGAAGATCCTCGGGTAAACGACATCAAGTTCTGTTCAACTAACCGTTCGCTTGATGCAAAGTTTCGACGTGGTCTAGGTCAACGGTCCCTGGCCATAGAATACGACGAATGGGAGCAGAAGATCTTCAACACTTCAAGGGTTTCCGAACTCTGTCGAGATTTGTCTGCGGCCGACCAACACGATGGCCATATCAACCAATTTTTGAGAGAGAACACTCATCGATTCAAGGATGAAAAGTCCGCATCACACGGCATCAGGCATGGAATCCGACTGCTTGTTTTTGAACGAACCTACGAACATGTCGGAGTTTCGGCGATCTTGATATTAGTATACAGTCAGTTCAGGAGCGTGAAATACAAAAACTACCTCTTGTTGAAGGAGTTGCTTCAGAAGGATCATTTATGGGGCTCATTGGCAAGCGGCAAGTCGTCATGGTTCAGGCAATGTGAGAAACAATACGAAGGTAAGTTCCCTCGTGATATGTTCGAACTCTTCTTATTCAGACCTTTAGCAAGGGTCAAGACCTGGCAGAAATTTCAAGCTAGCTGGCAACCTACTTGCGGAGGACAAAAACGCCAGCGGACCACAGATGTGCAGTTGCTGAGCCATCAATTGCCGCCTAATGCATATCCAGTATTGCCAACCGATATTCCGGAAAATCACGACGAACAGCCAAATGGTCACACAGCACAGACCGTTGGAAGCTCGACTATTGAGTCGAATAATATCATACAATTTCAGTCGCACACAAGCACGCAAGATATCCAACAGTCATTTCACGCTGAGGATGACACAACTACGGCCATATGTCCAGCCCCACTGTCTGCTTATCAGTCATGGGCTCCAAATCTTGACCATCAGTTTCTTGTTACAGAGTCCTCGACGCCACTGAGTTTGACAGACCGAGGAGAAATAACTCGTGTGCATCCCGTACATGACCCTGGTTCTCAGCCGCGATTAGAAGGCCCACAGAGGGGGACCCCACCAGTCGGATCGTCTCAACTTTGCGACACAAGAGTCGGAGGTGGGCTAGCGCTCGCCCAGCCTAGTCCTCTGACTCTTGCCTTTGATGAACAGGACTTAATTGAGCAAATGGTAACACGGCCATACAACTGCAGTACAGCCGTTCAGATAGCATTTGACGCATCCATGGCCCTGGACTACTTATCAACAGGGGACTTCTTCAATGAATAAAGTCATGAGTTTGGGTATGGAAACAAAAAATCGTCCTTGTGCTGATAAAGGCTGCCAAGGCCCTTCTATTTTCCCAACTTAAAAACCCATGCTCCTAATTTTCCCACTTTCCCGGCCTCACTTTCAACCAACAAAGAACATTCACCGGAGACATGGTAGTGCCGTTTCATTTCAACGGATTTGTTGCCAATTGTCACTTTGCCTGAGATGTAGAATGGAATTATTGTCATGTACGGTCGCCCAACGGTGGTCTCCCCGAGGAAAAAAACTTGGATAGCAGGTTTGATGCCCTTATATTCGAAGCCATGTTCTTTGCGATACCGGGTGCCCTGTTTGGATAAATTAGAGATGATGAATTTTAAGACCAGTTCGTAATTTCTTACCGCGGACAATTTTTCCACTTTTCCGATCACCTCGCTACCCAGGCCTTCGACCACCATTGTTGCGTATCTCCTATCCGTTGGGATCGAAAGTGATTTTGCGACAACGCCGTCCGCTCTGCATGCGTCATTGTAGAGGCCTTCATCGCAGGCCGGTATTTCCATGGACTCCACTTCACACGCGTCGGCCATGGCCATTAATGTTGGGCCCTGAGACCGGGAAGACGGTGGTAACAAGGGTAAACTGAGGCCAGAAAAATCTGCGGACATGTTATTTCACAAGGTTCTCGTTTTTCTTTTTTAGCATGAGCCACTTGCGTCTCAGAATATATGTGGCGTGCAAGCCAAAATATGTGTTGATGAAATTCCGCGGGGCAGTTAGGAGGGGTCGATTCTAGTCCGATAGACAAGCGCTGATAAAATCGATCACATGTTGCCTTCGTGTCAGATGACTTTTAGGTAGTTACTTAAACTTACCGCCTTGCTGATATGGCATCGCTGTCAATGCAGAAACTAAAGGCCAGGACTCAACTAATATTTTACAGGCTTGCAGATTTCCGCGAGTTTTTACACTGCGATTTTGGTATAATCCGAACAATATTTTTCCGATGGTATTCGGAGCCTTTTGGGTTGAATGCTTTGGATGATGTGGAAGCCCAAGAGCTCCACTTTCCAATGACACACACCTCAATCTGGAGTGCCCATTGTATGGCAGACTATTCTGACGGAGCAAGTAAGAAGAAGTGCCAAAACCAAAGCCTAGCTGGTGGCCTCCAGATGTCAGCTATGAGTTAAGTGCGGTATCAAAGTCAAGTACGAGATTAATGATGTTCCTATCCTGCCCCATGGAGTTCACGTTAACATGAGTTATAGAGCAATGTGATGTTTTGGTAGAGATTCTGTACCATCTCGACATAAACACGGTTGAAAATTCTATTAATAAAGCGCAAGACCCGATGCTACCTGAGGGTGCCCGATTGATGCTTCAGGAGTTTTGTCGAATTCGAAAGTCCCAAATCGAATACGCGAATGGCCATATTGGTATGGATCTCAAATTCAAGTCCAATTTATATTCTAATAGTGAACATGCAAGTCAATCGCCAAGTGGAATTCAAGTACATAAACCCACCTCGCATTCCATACAGTCCATAACGGCAGCAGCATTATGTATTCAAGTGGATGCTTTGAAGGATAGATCTGCCAGCTCTGGCTCACCGCCGTTCCCACTGTCTTGAGCTGGATAATTTTAAGTTTGAGGCAATTTTTATTTCTAATTTCTATTTGTTACTCTTTTATGGGCGTATCCGTTGGAAGGTCAGTATGTCTAGAGGGGCTAGCTGGAATACGACATTATGAGCCAGAACTTCTATAAGCGGCCTTTTCAGCTGAATAAACTAATAATGCCAAATTCTATAAGAAGGACCAGCAGACCTCTCACGATTTACCCCAGGGAATCTCTGGCAACCTTTTAAGTCCTTCAGGTATTCATCACCTCACCATGTCCCAGAGGCAATCCCTACGCAGGGTTTTACCGGCAGACGAAGTTTCCAACACCCCGGTTCTAAGCATGGGCTCATCGGATGAACGGCGACACATAGCTTCTATGGCTTGCAAGGAATGCAAGAAAAAAAGGACCAAGGTCAGAAGTATAAGACCAAAACCTGATAGATTGAAATAACGAATCTTCTATAGTGCTCGGGAACAACACCATGTACGAGCTGTGTAGCCAGGGCTTGCTACTGTATATACGAGCCGAATCGTGATCGAAGACGAAAATCTTATATGGCTGGGCTTTCAGACTCCCAAGCTGCTTTCCATAGATTGGTCAACCGGATTCGCTGTGGAACAACCGGCGATCTATTTCAGCTAGTGTGGATGATTCAACAATTTTCGACAGATCAAGAGGCAATCAGCTATCTCGTACAATTGCGGGATGGACAGTAGCCTCCGTCCTCAAGCCTTCCTTTCTTCGCGGGCCGCTTCCTGGAACTGCTGAACTTGGTTTGAACGCGTAACCAAAAAGATCCTTCGTCGCAACGGATAGACTTTGCGTCGTTATCACAGCACCGGGGAGTATCTTGGTACGGTGGAAATTCATTAATTGCCTAGATAATATGCTGCTAAAACGGTATTATATAAAACAAGTAAATGAAGAATCTCAACTAATTCATTTCTTATAAATATATATAGATAAAAGCGTATAGGATCCATATTTATGATTACCTAAAATAGTCTCTTCAGAGCACAAGTCACCTACATCAAAGTGCAGTGAATGAAAGCCCTAATTTCCTCTCTTACCTTGAATAGATTGGACAATGATATAGTATCCCTTGAGACAATTTTTATATCTATTGAAGTAGATACTTTTTGGGAGCTATTGCTTGCGTTGGTCTGTATGTTACTCTGCCGTATTGGTTATAGAGTATCGTGGAATTCTTCCCTATCCCTGCCTTGTTCCTCCTGGGTACCCTAGGCTGGTGATGAATTGTTTTGGGGGGGGGGTAAAAGAGAGATGAAACCCAGTTTAGAAGTAGTGGGGGAAATATAACATGGGGGATGCAGGCCGTGATTGCCTTCAGTCAGGACTGTCGTGACTTATGGAAGAGAGAATTTTGTAACTTAACGACAGTATAAAAGGAAACACATATCCTTTATAAATATCAGACGGTGTCTACAATTTATTGTGACCTCTTACTCGCAAAGAATTATCGTTGGTGTACAGATATGGTCAGTAGAAAGTCTATCCGCTGGTTCCGTTTCTCTATTCTAACTTAAAAAGGCTTCTTTACCACGCAGTTTATTCCGAGTTCCGGCAGCATGGGCCTTGAAATCTGTCCTGGCTTCAAAAACTAGCCCACACTACCGGGGGGGAACGCTTCCACGTGAAAGGCTCAGTCAGGACGCTATATACGTTCTAGATGCTTGCGAGGCTCTGCGAATGGCATATGACCAAGATGGCATACTTATTGATGACGCAATCTTGTTGGCCACGGCAAAGACACTTGTGGAAATTCTGAGTGTTGTCACGCTCCGGAAATTGTCCCATATAGTTTGGCATTTCGATGCAAGTTTGCACGACGATGCATCTCATTACCAGCCATCCTGGGCCCTCGATCGTTTTCTGGAACAGCCCATCGATGATGCACTTTGGAGAACCCTCCATGCACGATGCGACAATTCTCGTGGCTCACTGAATGATTTCAAAGCCTCTCATGACTTTTTGTTGTCCAATACTTGGCTCAGTTTCTAGCGATGCTTCTTGTGGGATCAATGAGGAACTTATCTACTTCCCATCGCAGATGACTTGCTGTGCCCTTGAGGTTCCAAATTACGCTTGCTTTCGCATTTTGCACCTTTGATTTACCTTGTTGATCTGAATTGGGCAGGTAGTTGAAAAAACCAGGCGATCCATAGCCATTACCTCTAGAACTGATTGCCAAGCTGGGAAACAGAAGTACACGGATGATGTATTGATCTGTATGTAGAGCTGCTTGAGCTTCTCTTTCGTCTTGCAAACTGCGGATCCTCCTCGGCATATAGTTGTTTCCGAAGACTATCTGAAATGTTACATCTTGTACTGTATTCTTGCTAAAATCAAGCTGTTATGTTTTTCCTTCCTCTCGATCTGGCAGTGGACACTAGTTCTAGGAGGCGTTACCGATGACCGTTGCCTTTAAAAGTGAACAGTTCGCCGATATTGATTTGTCATGTATAAACTCCTGTGAGTTCATCACTTGCCCATGAGTCCCCTCCAGGTGGAAGTGACGACAGACGTGATCCGAGTTCCCAAGAAGCAGCATACTCTTTTTCAAATGATAATGGGAATTTGGTTGACAGGGGTGACCTTTGTCAACCAAGTACGATCCATGGCTCTACCCCCTTAACTACACCAGATGATGCAAATTCTATCTCGGAAGCTAGGACTGTTGCCTCTCCAGTTGGGTCGAGTAACTACGAAGCATACCATTCCGAATGTTCGAGTAGTCCTATGTCAGATTTTCCGCAATACTTAAGATCTATCGAGGCAGCCATATGGCCCCACAGTCAGCACTCGGAAAGCCCGCAGGTCGAAGCCAAATATGACAATATACACTCGCAATTAGAACTGGACCCTTTAACACCAGGCTTCGAACGGTCACTAGCCAAAACGATGAACGTTTTTCACTCCCTAGATAGCTCTATTCGACCACCAGATGCGGCGAAGACCTTCTTGTCAGCACTAGACCTAATCGTTGTTTTCTTGTGGAACGAGGCAACGTATATAAAGCTTTCTGGACAGAGATGGATTTTCGAAGAAGTCATGAACCTACTTGCAGACCGTGACTACTGCTTCATTTGGATAGATGGACAAAGGGTCGTCGTCAACGACGTAAATGATATTTGGGCAATAGGCCAAGAAGCAAGACTTGTATTTGCCGGTCCAAAGATAGGTTACATGGATGAAGAGTCTAAAGAATCTTTCCTGAATTGGGTCGATGATATGGCAATTAGAGAAATTTAAGTCATTCTTATCTTCAATCTATAGAAGACACTTCGGAGCATTCATTTAACATGGTTGGATGAATTGATTTGCAACTTTGCTAAGTATCTGTATTCGTACACTTTCTTGAGAGTGGCCGCGTCATCATGTTTGCAAACCTTGATTCTCGACGTATTATTTTAAGGTAACAATATTTCTCTCGGCTCATAATGTCATGATTGGTTGCAGAGCATTTGTCAACTTGGCTAAGTCTACGGCCCTTCTGGAGATCGGGAAGAACAGAATCTCGGCGGATCTGACAAGACAGATTGCGTAAATTTTCAAGGAATAAGTACAAACTTGATATAGGCATTCTAGAGCACGACGCTCAACAAACGAAAAACATCCTTCCTTGTTGACCGCCAACATCTGGGATAACTGCACCAGAAAACTTTAAACTAGCCGCCAACCTGGATGACACTTGGCTGTACACCAGACGTGGAACCGTTTGCTCCGGATCCACTACTACCATCATCTTTTGGTTTATGAGACTTCTGGCGACATTTGGGACAGATATCACGACGGTTTGTACTCGAGGTTTTTGTTGTGTCCCGGATCGGATCGCAAAAAGTTGGCGGTGTGCGGCCAAGAGCCTCTGTGCACATGTGGCGAGTAGAAGTCGGGGGAAGATTTACTCGATGCCTGCATCTTGAAAAGTATACCGGTGCGGGGTGTTCCCACCAGCACATCTTGAGGACTTTAAAATAGACAAAGGGTGATTCCAAATCCTAAAAGCAGGATAAGTAGGAAAATTCGGCGGCTAACCAGACACACGTACGATAAGAGATGTTTTTATTTTGCAATAAACGATAAAGAATTGTATCTGGGAATTGGTCGATATTTATGCTCGGGAGGGGTAGTTAGGCCACTTTCAGATTTTCAGAAATTACTGATTACTTATTGGGAAATTTGACAGAAATATGAAATATGCAGGAGGTTCGACCACACCCCGGGAATGTCAGAGAATTTTATTGGAGGATCGCAGCAGTGGAGCAGATACTAGCTGCATCTAAGGGAAGTGCACATTACTCATTTTATCGTTGATCAAAGCACTTAAAAGATAAATGCAATCATGCAATTTTTCCCATCAAGATAGAATGCATTTTTGACGGAAGGATGGTGCCCATTAGGAGTGAGTTGTAGGTCTACTTTACTCCCTTGATGCAAGCGTGCGCGAGAGCAACAGCTGACAGCCCAAAGGGCTGCGTAGAAGAGTGGTGGTGAACGTGTAGCTCAGAGAAAGAAAAAAATTGTTTGTAAACGGGAGATGAATCACGTTTACTTGGGGGTTCCGTTTATTTTGCCTCATTTGCATAGTTATATTCTTGGGAGACCAATAAGGGGCTTCGCACTACGACCCATGAAAGTCGTTCGGTGGGCTGGCGACCACCAAGTTATATATTAGAGCGAACTACATCGGGCAAGGCAAATTAATTATCATCAAGTCCTATTAGTTCTAATGGGGAATATTCACGCCCACAGAAAAATAAACCGGGGAACCACAACAATTATCTGAAATCATGATCCTAGACCTTGCAATAAAAAATGGGCATCTTCATTCAAAGCATCCATACTCGCATATTCTCCCCGCCAGCACTTCTCAATGATACGTCCACAAAACAACTTGCCCGTCTCTGGAAGGGCTTGCGGTTTCGGCCAGTGCAAATTCTCCGGGTCAAAAAAGTAATATTTGTGAGCCCGCCAGACAGCGATTGAGTAGATGATCCAACCAAGGTGGAGGATTTCGATCCTTGCAGTCAAATCGTTTTCACATATGGTGTTGACATCAGCCGTGATTGGTAGCAAAATGGACTGACCAAAGTCTGCAAGTTTGAGTTGATCCTCGACGACCAAAATATTGCGAAGAGCGACTTCGTCCAAGAACACTCTACGAGAGTGCACGTAGGATAAAGTCTTTGTGAGAGATAGTATCCAATCAACCTTAAAAGAACATCGAGGTTCCGGGCTGGCCTTGATGTACCTCTCAAGATCGCCTTGCTTCGCAAATACTAGCTCGATTCCATATTCGGAAAAACAGGTGCAAGAGATGACTCCCTTGTGGTAACCCAGACGTTTATATATCTGTATTTCGTGGACCAAAGTTGACCGATTGATGTCATTCATATATTGCGTATTGAAGCAGTCGGATTCGGTGAGATTTTCGAGAGGATAGATCTTGGCTTTCTTCACGACCCTTTCCTCATCAACCTTGAAAACGACACCAGTTAACCCGACGCCAACAACGGCAAGACCAGCGTAAGGATCATGGGGAAATTGTCGGTATAGGGTCGTTATTCCAGAGAAATCGGTCGGAGGGGATCGATTATGTCGTGACCAGGGTTTCGCAGAAACCTGTTAGAAATTAGCAAGAGGTGTTCTCCTGAATTTGGGGTTGCCCACTTACAACTGATGGTAAGAGCCGGTGCAATCCCGAGTAAAGAAAGTGCTGTAGAACAGACAGTAGAGAACAGAAGCAAGTCTTTATTTGTAAAAGCATGTCTGATGAAGATGAAGAAGCAGTTGGCAGGGATAATTAATTCGACCTGAACTGCCCTTCTGGTTCCCCTTAAAAGTCATCGCGCTGCAGTGAGAGAATTTACTAAGCCAAGAACTGTCTGGATCAATATATTTCCCGATGCCGATTCTTGCCTGCAGAATCAGGCAAAAGGAATCCGTCATGTACTCCCTCTTGCTAGTTTTTGCCACTGCAGAATAGATTTTTATCATTGAATTTTAAGATACTACAATTTCAGGTCAGCACTCTTCAGGTTCGTTTTCATCAAACAGCAAAAAAAGTTGGGCACAGTTTTGATGCCCAAGTGATCAATTGATTAGTCAGATCCACTATCACATGATATTTCCGATGCCCCTCTTCCCGTCAATAGTTTCTTCACTCTTCAAGCTTCTATGAGTTACTTTTCGTGCTACAGAGTATGTCTCGTACGCCCTGGGATTTGCCACGTAACTAACATCGTCAAGCTACTAATATATGCACCTCCCATGCTTTGTTCGACAAGCTCTCTCCCCTTCAACGAGACCGTTTCCTACCTTTCCTGATCAACATTACTTCTATGAACACCTGGGTTGGGAACCTACCCGCCTTCGTGAATAACTCGCCGTTGCAAAGACCGATTGTATCCCTCGCCGACTCGCGTGGAGGGCCCTTTATCATATGGCTACTTTACATACCCTAAGCGTACAACACTGTGCTGAAGACAATGAACAGCTCGTGAGGTTATATAAGAATGAGGTACGTGATGAGACTAGCGATAAAAGAACGAAGGCTGAACTTCTTCCAGACCAAATACTTTGATGCAGAGATGGAAGGTACTGGCCCAGAGAAAGACTGGATAACACCGGATCCGTTCTTGGTATGGGGACCCTTCGACCACACAGCCGCCATTATCATCAGTGGAAACAGTGGTGTTGTCAGCATTTTGAAGGGCAATGACTGCATAAGGAGCTATCCAGGTGGAAATTCGATGGATGATACCATAATGGTGTTTCTTGAGATTGGATTCTATTGTTGGAGCATGAAGGGCTCTCGTGTAAAATTTATCAAACGACCAGAGAGGCAAGTTGGATAACCTTGATTAAATCACACTATGCCATATACTTTCGCATGATCTGGCTGGCGATCTCCAATGGTATAACCATGTACGGTTGTTGAAGGAAAGGGTCAGGGAGAACGATCTGCAGTTGGTCGCCATATCCTTCCTTAACAGTCTCTTGTAGAACTTCTATTGCTGCAAGTTTGACGGGTATAGTGATAGGGACTCCCGGCTTAATTTGATCTAGTCATTCTCGTTAGCAACAACATTAGATAGAGAACGGAAAACATACTTCCATGAGCCGGATGCGCCTGGGCACTCAAGACACTATTTTCATTTATCTCTTGCGATGCAGTGCCTGTTTGCGGATCCAAGCCTTCCAATGAATGAGTCAATTGGTTCTGCGGTTCGTTATTGCCTGAGTTCATTAGCGGCACTCAAAGAACTGCCTAGGTAGTGAGACTGAACCTCCAGCGTTGTCAGTTTGGGAAAGATGTACTCCGTTAAGTGATAAGTTATCCGTACTTGGGATGTTGTATTGAGCAGCCAGAGATGACAGATGTTCAGAGTCAAGTCGAATGCTTGTAGTGGCAATATATCGCACCAGTGTGATCCTGTCTCTCTCATTTAATGTGACGGCTTTCGTCTTCCCGATGGTTGCAGAGCACAATACGACCATATTTCTACCGAGTGGCCCCGATGCCGTCCGTACGTCGCAAAGGAAGTTTTGATAGACTTGAAATGGTCGTTCGGTCTGTTCAGAGGTCATGATGCGAACCGCATTTGAAACGAGCGTGGAGGCCCTTTTCCCGCCAAAACGGCCCAGGACCCTCACGTCCTCTGCGACTTTGTGGATTTTTTCGCATATGTCCTTGAGACCAATGGGCATCTCAGAGTGCTGCTTTGTGCGATCATCTTGGTCTCCGCCAGCCATGGTAGACAACGATGGATATTTCTGAGAACTTGTTGAGAAACTGGTCAACAATACTGTGTTGGGTAGTAATTAGGCAACCAAATAACCCCTCAACCTGTGTCGATTAGTTAGTTAACTAGCCATCACATGTCTCTGAGTCAGCACTTGTACGCTAGTTATCTACTCAGTAAATACTCAGTAAATACTCAGAAACGACCAATTCACCCATCTAGTACTCAGAGCTTACTCGAAAACTAATGATATCTTACTGAGATGTTTACGGTTACCAGGTTCCAGTAGTAGACATTACTCGATGATCGCAATAGTACATCATTCCTAAATCGCCTAAGTGACTGAAGAAAGGTCTGGCCGTGCTGGAGACTATACCGAACTGCAGGGGATCGATTTCCCCATGCTCAGTCGAACGATCCCCCTGCAACAAAACATCCAAATTCATGCACAGTGCTCTCAAATCAGCATGGGATCTTCAAATACAGGCAGGTCTAGCCCTACCGGACGAGAGGTGAACTGTTGTGGATATTGCGCCCCAGCTTAGGTAGATGAGATATTTTACGCAGAACAAAGAGTGGCATTACCGGCATAGACGACCAGGGTTACGAACATATAAAAAGAAGCAATTCCTCGAGCTCTCATCGTCCTATTCTAGTCGCCGGGACATTTCATATCAGTTGCCCTGCACAGATATATCAACCATTCAGATTGCACAACATGGCCTCAAAGACTTCCTCTCCCTGCCACGAAGGCTTGACGCCGCCCGATAGTCCAAGGGAGTCGCCTATGCCTCTAGCTACCTTGAACGATCTGAAGCATCTCTTTGGTGTGTTCCTTGAAAAGGCGCTACTCGAACCTACCAGCCAAGTTCCCCCAAACACGCCCGTCTCCCAGCACCATTCCCAACCGGGTCCCGACATGGCTCAACTGAAGCAGTTGCTGGTGAAACTCGTCCACGATAGATATCCTTCAGTTGAAACCATTGAGGCAACTCGGCCTGCTCAGTCTTGTTTTGTGAGCAATGAACAACAAGGGAACTCTGAGGCGGCGGAGGCAATTGATCTTGAAAGTCCGATCAGAACTACTCCGGATGATTTCAAATCCTTTGAGAAGTGGGCATCTCAAAGATCGGCACCTCAATTCAAGAAAATCGTGGAAACGTACGAGCCGCCAGCCACATTTCCTTTCGGAGAAATATGCTGACACTGGTCTAGCTGGGACAAAGACGCATACAAATACAAGGTTGCCGAATCAGTGGAGAGCAGCAATGATCAGGACGATCTTTGTAAGTATGTATTCGTTGTCCGTGAGCGTGTTGGTACGTGATGTCTTTGTATACCGGGCCGAAAGTCTACTAATTATAATCAGACCGGAAATCCGAGGAGGTGACGCCGTATATTGATATCAAATCGGAATGGTTGCGTGATATCCTGCGTGGGGTGATGCAAAATATCAAGGCTATTAGTCTGATGGAGAACGAACCATCGGTAAATCAAAACAAAAATACCTCTAGAGCGAGAGGCTGACCCGAATCAAGATCGAGCAGAATATACTGTTCCATTTTCTCGCGGAGCTCGAGGAATATGCGGAAGGCTTGAAAAACGACCCGAAGTTTGACATCAAGCATATAGAGCATCTCGGCCTACTCATTGAGCACCTCAAGTATACATATGCTTCCACCTCGCACCGCCTTCATTCAATGCTGCAGCATAGCCATATTACCTATGACCTCCTCTGGGCGCTCTTCAAGCCTGGCTCCCATGTTTTTGCCACGTGCTTCGGCACAGGAGAGCAACGATGTGTCGTATTCGATGCAGGCCAAGAGATGACTCAAGATAACATCACGTTCTTCAATCTCGAGTGCCGCTTTCTTGATTATGACGGAGTCAGATTTGGTGAAGCTGGTATCTTTTTGCGAATTCTTAAATTCCGTGGATCCAAGCCAATCAAGGAACTGGAGGCCTTCCCTCTCTACCATCATCCGAATCACGAACAAATCCGCAAAGACCTTATAAAAAGCGGTCAGAAGTTCCGTGACTTAGCTGGTTCACATATCCAGTATTGCAACGGGAGCGCATTCTTTATGAAAAATGGAAAGCCTATTAAACTAAAAATCAACAGTCGAGTGGGAGTTGACGCAGCCTTTTTCCGAAAAATGCAGCCGAATTACTCCCGACCGCGGTTGCACGATATCTGGGCAGAACGAAAAGATGGTATTGCTATTATTGACTTTGATACATTTGTTGGGAATGATCGTGAACAAGAAAAAGAGAAAATGCAGGAAGGCAGTGTCGATGCCCATCAAATGGGCGAGAGCGACTTGTTGATCTGCTGCCCGACTGTCTGCTGCTTTAGTTTTAAGGAGAAGATGTTCTGTAAGTGTCATATGGTACGAGGGTTGTCGTTAAGTCTAACAGAGATAGTGGAATGTGCGGCGGGTGCTCTTGCGGACGTGCAGTGGTCTCCGGGGTCCTTTGAGTGTCTCAAGATCCCGTCAAAGACCAAGACGCTGCTCTCCTCACTGGCTAAAACTCGGTTGGACCTAGTGCCAACTCTGCCTTTTGACGATATCATTGATGGCAAGGGCCGCGGCTTAAACATCCTTTTACAGTACGTTGGCAGAAACCATCCAAGTATTGCTTCCTTTCTGACTTCTTCAACTTCTCCAAGTGGTCCGCCGGGTGTTGGGAAGACGTTTACAGTCGAGGCAACCGCAGAGCGGTTCAACCTTCCTCTTTATTCCGTAAGTATCGTTCTTTGCATCTACCCGGGTTTCGTTAACCTGCCTAGATATCGGCTGGTGAGCTCGTGGTAGACCATGGTGATTCAAATGCCCTTGAACAACAACTTGAAAATATCTTTACAATTGCCAAGCACTTCAATGCAGTGCTTCTTTTGGATGAGGCAGACGCGTTTATGGAACAGCGTACGTCCTACCACGACAACCACAACCGTCTCGTGACCGTTTTTCTCCGAAAGTTGGAATACTACCAAGGCATTCTTTTTCTCACAACGAATCGGATGATCCAGTTCGATGAAGCCATCATAAGTCGGATCCATTTGACCATCAAATACCAGGGTCTGACAAGGGAGTTTCGCAGAGAAATCTGGAAAAACTTATTGTCCAAAGCACAGACTATTCAAGGACCTGCCATAGTTGGCCACGATGAGTTGCAGTTGCTAGACAACTTCTCACTAAATGGGCGAGAGGTTAGTTCACCACAACGCTAGCCAATGTTCACCAGCTAACCGTCATCAGATCAAGAACCTTACTTCTATTGCACATGCACTTGCCACGGTCGAGGAACAGCCAGTGAGCTATAAATATCTGGAAATGGCTGCGGAATCGAATGAGAAACTTTCGGAAAAATTCGGTCAAGAGAGTCGTGTTGAGAGTATGTATGTCTAGGACCGACGGGACTAGTCTTCGGGGTCTCTTATAGCAGTAAAGTTCAGTGCACGACAGGTTCAAGGGTTTCTAGATTACATAGTGAATATAAATCTGTGGCTTTTCGGCTTTGGCGTGATCGAAAGATCGTAATGCCCATCTTCTTCTCCATCGCGCGGTGGCCTGATACCCCTTTTAGGATATGCATAGACTTATCTTGCTTGAAACAAGAGTATAATACAACCAAGATGTATAGCACCCTGAGAGAAACCTAACAGAAATGGTATTAGAATGAGAAACTGGGATTGTATCTAGGTTGGAGCTATATAGGACATCCTTACGGGGTAACATGGGAGGACATTGACAGTAGGTTATTTTCAGCTAACGCATGTCAAGAGAAAGGGTCACTTGGGAGGCCGAGAACAGAAAACTTCTTTCGAGAGTGTTGTGATATGAGGCTGGTGCAGGCCAGGAATCAAGCCGCACCATCGGAATTAATTCCCGCATTGAGTATACGAGGAACCAAGTTGATTGAAAATCAACTTGATCTTCTCATTGTATATTTAGCCTCATGTTTCCCTCTAGATTAAAATTAACACAATTCCTCTGAATTACAACAGAGAGGATTCCGCTCTCAGTCACAGCATGGCCAACTGAAGAGCATAGGCGGCACAGAAGACCACACGTCATATGAGCTGGCTCTTAGTACTACTTCTCTCCTAGTCCAAACATTTTAGGCCTAGATCAGTCTCGAGATAGTTTAGAGGCGGCGAGGGAATGCCAAGCTCGGCCAGACAGCGACGCTGTCCCAGTGAGTGTTGATGGTATTGGCTTGTCAGCTTGCTGAAATAGTGGGTAACGGAGTGGTCTTCTATTCGTTGGTCCTTGCCATGCTGCCTGAGCGAGCTGCCGATCCCTGTTCCCCAATCGCCTTTTTGGATAAACATTTCTCCTTGATTGAGTCTTACAATTGTGCCATGTACGTCTCCTCGCACTGTCGTGCCTACCCTACTTTTGAACTTGTTCTGTCCTTGCGAAAACACTTGCGGAAACACTTGTTGTTTCTTGGTAACCATCATCCAACCTGTCGTTTCATTTGGTTAATTTTCGCACTGCATGAACCGTCTCGTTATCAAATATCACCCCCCTACTAGCCGCTGTCGTTCCAAGCCACATTACCGCGTCACAGAAACAGCAAGCCCCGAATGCGCCACGCAGTATTTCACCCAAAATTTCACATACCTGTCGAAGATGGCTGAAGATACCCGATAATGCTTCCAGGGCTTTTCGGGAGGTTATGGTTGTCCCACCTTCTGGGGAAAATCGGATTCATTATAAAATCTGTTTTGGACTTGCTTCTATAAATAGGAAATAGAGTTCGTGCCTTGACGCTGTGGCTTAATTGATGCGCGATTTCGAGACCCTCGCCCCTGCATTTCTGTAGTTTCGCCTCAAGGATGCCTATGGACTTGATTGGCTTGTCTTCGGGACTTGGGCGCCAGAACACCTGCGCTATGGTCTGGAGAGGATCGCGGCGCTTATAATATTTCCCTCGATAAAGCCATGTAATAGAACCTCTCTTTACGCTTCCTGGAAGCATTAGGATAGTGTTGGCATCGGTCCTGTAGATAATCCGATCGAGCCTGACGGCGTGTGTTCGATTCTTCCGAACGCCTCTGGGGCAAATTTCCTTCGGGATTAAATGTACCTGAGGGCTGGGGGCAAAATAACTGGGCCAAAATAAACTGGCCTAGCCGCCAACAATTCCTGTCACATTTTCGCGAATCCACCCTAATCGTCCCTAATCGTCCCCCTGTTGAATATGTTGAATGTCCCGGTTACTGAGATAACCATGGGGGTTGGGATCACGCGCATACATATATATCTGTCTACCAGCCTCCTTGTATCTTACACACAACATACAATCAACTCCCATCAATAACATGAACACCGAAGCGTCACATATCAATCAACAGAATATCCAGAACCGGGAAAGTAGGTGGGAAAATCATCCTTTTCGTTGCAAAAATGCGCTTTTGCGTTTTTTTACATCGGCGAAACGCCCACGTTGTTAGCTGGCGCATAGCCGACGCTTGGCATTGCATTTTGTGGCTCGCCTTATCTCCGTTGAAACCGAACAGTTGGAATTTTCCAGCCAGGTAAATATTATGAGATAAAGAATATTAACAACGCTTAATTTCTGCCCAACACAAAATTAACCTAGTACAAAAATTCACCTTCTTAAATTGTCCAGTAGGACTAGGCAGGCTAGAGATTTTAGTCTTTCCATAGTCCCGATCAATAATCTAAATCACAAGAACACTCCCTCAGGCAGATAGATAGAAATGAAATTTAGCTACTCAAGGCATCTCAACCACAGGAATAATATCCCACCAGGTAATGACAGCCCGAGACATTGATTATTCCAAGGAGAAAATCCCTCAGGGGATTTTCACCTCGGGGAGGCGGTTCCCCAAGCAAAACTCACCTTATGAGTCCACTCAGCACAAGCGATAATAGCCCTAGGAGACTACCCCACACAAGGGAATTGTCGGCATATGGGATTCTGTCCTCAAGGAACTTTTGCCCGCAGGGTAAGCATTCCCAGTAGTGGTCACCTTTTCAACAACCCCATGTTCATTGACAGCAAAGCTCCATCCAGTGATGACAGGTTCACTCGCCTCAATCTCTTGATCGGAGATGAGGCGAAGAGGGACACTGATGGTGCCGCGTCCACTAGGATGCGTGAACTCAATGAAATCTTCTCTATCTGCAGGGTTCGCGATGATTGAGATCCGTTTCCCTAAACTGTGGGCTTTGAGAAACTTGGCAAGCTCAGAAGCGAAAGTTGCGTCGATCTGAGTTGCATTGCCGCTGGCATCGTACTCGAATGCCTGGAACATTACAGTTCCGTCTTGGAGTGGGCCGTGGCGATGGAGAAGCCCCGCTTATAGCTTCATATGCATGCCGTGCCTGACAAAATGTCCGCGATCGCTATCAAGGTCTCCTTTTCCACCTCCTTATCCTGTTCTTCGAAGGCCTTGATTGCATTGAAAGAGAGGGCATCCAAAACGGCACTCTCTACTGCAACCACCATTATATCGGCAGATCTCACTGTTTTATCATTGGTGTTGGCGATTGCTGCAGGTGACTCAAGCCCCTATGCGTCTTTATATACGTCGATGAGGATAGGACAGAAATGGTGCTTGGGTGATATTGAGCATAACATGAGATACCTTCTCGTGACGTGGAGATATGAAGCCCAAAACAGGCGAGGATGATCAGTATGCTTTCGATGAAACTTGCGCTGGGCAACTAGCTTGGGTTGGGAGAGAATGGAACAATGCGAATTGGAAGGAGTGTCTGTACTTATCTGAGAAACGGCTGGTTGATTTCCGTCATCAATATGGCTCGACATGGGGCGGGCCAAATACCGAGTAAGCGGGGAACCCTGTCATCCTGGCATGCTCAGGGCGTGGCGTGCTCAGGACAGAAGAGAACAGGGGCAAGTACCAAATTACAGCGGCCAATAGTCTATCTCAGCAAAGATCCACTCAGCTGAAAATATTTCTTGACTTGAGAGCTTCCAACGTTGGTTTCCTGCCGACGTGGCCTGTAGCACGCGGTTTCGCAATGACAAATATGTAAGTGAGCATGAACGCATCATCGGACAGGGAACTGGCGGCTACATACTGACTGCAATTGGCCATGAAAAGCACCAGCCAGCCAATGGACCCCTTCGATCGACGCTTACATGCTGGGACAAAGACTCGTGTTTTGACCAAAGCTCCGAGCGCTTGCAGGCTCTATAATTAGTCACCAATATGCTGAGCTGGTTTCATTTGCACCCCTTACACCTTCGGTGCCGTGACTTGCCTTCGCAAACGCAACTTGCAGGTTAGAAATGCCCAATGATCCCATTTGGGGTAGTGTAGCTATTTTTTTCTGAACAGCTGCGCTAGTCCATGCCAGATTGGCGGAAGTAGATGCATCTCCTCCAAGCCTGTGGCGAGACACAAGTAATCGCGAGAATCGTCATGCGGTGAACTCAATCTTAGCGAGGGGGAACTCCCAAGATGATAGATCAGAAAAGAGGAGGGGAAATGCCACGGTGCTGATCTCGCGTGTATGTATATCTGCTCCCGAGATCGCGTCCCGAGATCGCATGATCGCTGTCCTGAGGTCAGACTTAATCCACGATCGATCATGTTTTCTAGGTTACCACAAATCATCTAAGCTGGGAAGATCCACTCTTTATTTTCTTGTGTTTCCTTGTTTTTGGGATGTTTATGGGATGTGCCACTTCACAGGATTTGACAGACATCATAAAATCTGGTTGTGGCTAGTGTGGACACTCTCCACTCACGGATAGGGATTCCACTATTTTACGATCCTAACGGAGAAGAAAGAAAGAAAGAAAAGTGCCATCTCCACAGCGGGACACTCTAGCACCAGCCTATAGTTGTAGTGTTTGTTACGCAGTGCCTCTGCGTCACTATGAGTTTGTGCCAGGTGGGGTGATTACCTTAGTTGTTAGAAGGTACAACAACTATATATGCTGAGGTCGCTGGTTTCGATTTCGTCGGCACAGATTTCGATCCCAAGAGTATCTCGCAACCGTACCGATGCTATGCTAAGCCTTACACGGGCTCGGGTCTTGTTGAGTATCTTGCAAGACGTGCCAGAGTGCGCGCCGAGTAGGTCAGTACCGTGGGAGCTCCCCTACTCGTAGGATGGTTGTCACGAAGGTGAACTGTGAATAACAACAAGGTGGTATCCAAGTAACAATATGCGAATTGATCACGAAGAACTAAATACATGTGTAAAGGAGTGTCCTTATATATCCAGTCCTCCATGGTTGGTATATTTCCGGGACTATTTGTGGTCTACCTGCCGTAGTCCAAAAGTAGTCCATCTTGTAGTCCACAAATAGACCGTAGCTTGGCATCGCCCCATGGTCTATCGTAGTCACGTGAGCGGTGGCGGTGTGTCAGAGGAAATCCTATACATAGAATAGCCTAGGTAGTGGGATTCCTTCATTTGAGCGATTCTGGCGGTCACGTGCTTCGATCTTTCGCCCAGTGTCAGTGATCAGAGATCCATTGGCTCTCGGCGGCCCATTTGTGAGTTGGTGTGCAGGGGTCGTAATAGTGTTGCGGTCGCCGAGATCAAAATCCTCGGTCTGCGATCTGCATCTCCACCTGGTGAGGCGGTGTCATGGCCCACTGTGACGACTTTGTGAAGGAATAAGAATAATGCTGGTGATCATGGTCATAACCTCCTGAATATGTATATCTGCCCCCTATACGTACCAGATATTCTTTTCCGAAAGCTTTCCAATTTAGGCGGTGCTTTTATAAGAGCACAAGGCATCTCACTTCGTATACCTCATCGCGAAAATAAACAATGAGGGAGGGAGGGAGAGCTGTCTTTGAACTGGGTTAGAGAACTGAAGCAGTCTTCTGCTATACACAGTGAATCTGAGATATAGACGGAAGCAGTGGGATACTGCCTAACTTTAGGCATATACTAGGGCGCAGAACAAGTATAGACCATTCGATGATAACTTTATCTTAGCCCTTGTCTGGCTACTACGTAGATTAACATTATATCCATATATACAGAAATATTAGATCAAGATACTAGGGTATGTTATTAATAGTTGTGAAGAGCCTTTCATAACAAATCTCGTATCCCATCAAGGGAATCTATATACACAAATTAGGCACTCCACAAATTCCGGTAATTAAACAAGAGTCGACCTTAGGAGGCAATCAAGACCGTGGCCGGTTTCCGAATTTTCTCACCCTTGATGATTTGAAACGCGGGTATAACATCATAGCAGGGAGCAGGCCCGTAATAGTCTGGGTCAAATCGAACCAAAATCTTGCCCTCGGTGAACGCGATATTGTCGACATGGTTATCCAAAAGACTGATCTGGCGATCCATGCCTGCGCGTTTATATGTCCTGGTTGTAATTCCATGAGACAGGCCTGGAAGTAGGTGGTAGATTTCATCCTTGATTTTATCGATCTGGTCTGGAAATTGCAAACCATGGCCCTCGTCCGCAGGGGCGGTGTATATCGCCACGCGAGTATCTGCATCACTCCTTGTAAAGTAGCGGTTTCGGATTCCGGGGGTACGTTCCTCTCCCTCCATGTTGACCCCGTGGGCAAGGACATCAAGGACCTCTCTGTTGAACCGACGCTCGTTGAAAGCATAAATCGGCTTTCCTCTTCGATCCACCTGGCCGGTTTTTTCTTCGAACGAGGGTCTTTCCCAGAAGTGCCCCATATAGAGAGCATATCGAGATGTGATGATGACAACGGTGCAGCCGGACAGATTCACGACGCCAAAATTGTGTTTCGAGCGGGGGACTGGCCACAGCTTTGCTGTCGAGGGCGAACTGTCTTCAAGGGAAAGAGGGAGTAGTGTGGCGTCTCGGAGTTTATCGCGAAACCAGTGAAAGGAATCCCCTGGAGCAGGTTCACTGAAGCCCCTCTTCTCGAGTGTTGTTGGAGGCTCGCTGACTGAATCGTTTGAGGGGGTGGGCGTCTCCATTATCTCCATTATCGGCTGGATCGGGTTCTGGCGTGTCTGATTTGGCTAATGAGTTCTATTGTCAGCTCTCGTTGGGATAATGCTTTCTGTGCCGATATACGTACCGTCAATAGTCACCGAGCCCTTCTTGCTAATCGCATGCGCTTGCACAAGGCTGTTAAGAAGCGCAATAGCAAGGAGAGAGAACAGAAATTCCCTGAAACTCAAGCTGAGCCTCATTGTGTTTTCCCCTTGCTCGCTTTCAATGGAAGAATTTCCTCATGGTCAACGAAAAAAAGGCGCAGACAGGAGGCTGTGTTAAGAGAGGGAGAGAATCAGGCGTATGTAGGGGTCCATGACAGTATCATTATTATTAGATTTTGGATGGAGTGGGGGCCGGGGGTACACCGGGGGCCATGGGGGCTAAGGGTGAAAGGTCTGCTTACTTCAAAGCTGATCATAAGGACTTCTATTCCATGACACTATCTCTCCTATTAAAATATTTGTCGCTCCATAGATAGTCAAGTTTTCAGTTTTCTAATGTTTTGTTGCTAGTACTATAGCGAGTCTTTATACGCGAACTTATTATAAGAAACGCTAAATTCCCGTGCGACAGTAGTGATATGTTATACAGATTTGTATGCCCCAATAATCCAATCTCTGATCGGAATGTACGGTTGTAGCATATTACATATAAGGGTATGTTGAATGAATTCAAACGGTTCTGCTCAACAGTATGTATACAGTGATATTAGACTTCGGTGACAATTTGGGAATTTTCTGCAAAACTGTACAGTGGAAGATTGGGAGTGAATCAATGTGTCTGCCTATTAGTTACAGCGCCTACGAAGATCTGCAACAACCGGCAGTGTCCCTGGATCCTCGAGCGACCTAGGAAGTCTAGCAGAGTTTATTTTCTCACCTTCTCACCCTCGACTCACCTTCTGCCACCACAATCAGGGATTCGCCTAAGCCCAATTGCTGTGGCAATACCGACAAAGTACTGTTTCAGGAGCGCATCAACAGTCGATCGCCATTGGCTACGCTATTACGGTGCCAAGTCCATTGCCCCACACTAGTCCAGAGACGCATTGCTCCTTTACCCATTTGTGCCTTTTGACTTGACCCGTTGAGAGTTATTTATTGTCACGTCTACGACTAGAGAATACTTTTCATTCTCTATCTTGTCCGCACTTCACCAACCAATATTTATTGTCGATAATTTAAGTCTCTCTTTCTTAGACATGGCGGTCACAACCTCTAACGGATCAAATCGATCCAATTTAAACAAGAAATCCATTCTCCAGAAAAGAGATCGACGCAAATCAAGTCTGATGAAAAAGTCATGCGAATACAGCAAGATGTGCGACGCAGATGTCTGTTTGGGCATACGAATCCGAGAAACGGGCCAAGTACATATCTTCTCTGCGGATGCTTCGGGGTTCTGGACTTTCCTGGGCTCGCATTTGGTTTGTCTCCTAACTGATTATTCGGATTAAAAAAATATTGATCTCTCTAGGGCTCTTATTATCCAACCCCAATCCAGAAAACAGAACGAGACCTCGAGACATTTCGAGGGGATTAAGAATAGCTCGCAGTTGAGCACTATGTCATTCATGGAAAATGGATAGAACTGAGAGATCTACAATATTCACCAGAACTATTGCCGAAACCTATATCAAGAAGCAGAGGAACGAGATCATATCAGTCATGTCAGTTTCTTGCTTTCGTGGCCAGTCCTGGTGATATTCTGAGGTCGGTAGGAGCAATTTAAGGCCTATTATCTCCATTATCTAAGCCTATTATTAAGTTACCCGGGGCTTCTTTTGGCCTTGATGCTGTAACTTCATCTATATTCTTGATGTTGCTTTGCCAACCTATACTACCTCGCTCGGCTACACTCAGGACCCGAGGACCGAGAACATCTATATCGTCAAAGACGAACTAATCAAGTTGTTCGATTTTGACAGAACCAATAAGTGCTGCCGACTATTAGCCAGCGGTTTGCAAGCCATCAACTGCTATGGATTTTCATACCCTCAAATAACGATGCCCTGTAGTCTTAAAGAGAGCTACTGTACCAAGGATTCCACGACAATTCATCGTCCGAATGCTTATTTCCTTGTGAAGGCCATGATTTTCCGGGGTACCTTAAAGATTCCACGATAGTAAGCATCCAATGACACAACTGATCGTCGAATCATTTAGATCGTGGGAGCGCTTGTTTCCTAAGAAAGGCAATATTTTTCTGAGGAATTAGGAAAACCATGGCATGGCGTGGGACAGAGTGTATCGTAGGCCTAATGTGAGCGTAGGAAGAAGAGTTGCGTAGGACAGCCTGTGTTAATAAAGAACTAGAAAACCGTGGCATGGCGTGGGATAGATTGTATCGCACGTCCTATATTGGCGCAAGAAGGATAGTAGTTAGCGCAGGACAGCCTGGATTAGTAAGTAATTAGAAAAAACCGTGGCATGGCGTGGGACAGAATGTATCGTAGGCCTAATGTGAGCGCAAGAACACAGTATGGACCAGACCTAATCTAGACTATCCTATGCAACTATCCTTCTTGCGCCAATATATGACGTACGATACAATCTATCCCACGCCATGCCACGGTTTTCCTAGTACCCTAAGCATTCCCACGACACACTTAATCTTGGGAACACTTGTTCCCTGGGAAAGGCCATAGTTTGCCGAGGACCCTAAGCATCCCATGACACACATACCTTATCGTCGGATAATCTAGACCATGGGAATATTTGTTTCCCAAGAAAGGTCACGGTTTTCCGTAGACCCAAGGTTCCCACGACACACTCGGTCGTCGGATCACCTAGATCGCCAGACCACCTAGGTCGTAAGAAATGCCACAATTCTGATAGGCCTAAGGGATCACTTTTACATGGGATCGTCAGGCTGCGAATTTCATAAGACGAGTTTTCATTTATTGCTTTCGCACCCGGAAACCGTGGCCTTTCTTGAGTACATCGATAGCTATTGTGAAATATAGTAGGTATCCCGAGACAGGCTACAATATTCGGCAGCCATAGCGTCGAAAAGGCAGTGGACAGAGACTTAATATTGCTGGGTGATTGGAATGTTGAGCATGAGTGATGGTCACCACTTCCCTACCGAAGCGACAGGGTGCTTGTTTCAAAATCTCGCTAGCTTTTGATTTAACCAACGAATGATTTAAAATAACTCATATCAAGGAAAAGCCGGCACACTGTTGTTTCTACTTGTCAAATGCGGTATTATACTGACAGATACCGTGGAATTTACGGCTAGAGAACAATTGATGAGAGTCTCCTCGGGTTATTGCCGTTGAGAAAGATCTGAACAGTAACAAAAAGTAGTGTCAAGATGGGGTGGGATATTTTGGCCCCAAGTATTCTGACCCCAATGACTTCTGTTCACGTGTGGGTCCCATCGCGAACCGTGCGTCGGCCAGCGGCTCCCACCGAGGCGTTAAACGCAATGTTTCAGTTGATGTGGCTACGTGAATGGTGTAAAGTTGCAAAAATTTCTACTCGGCCAGGTAGGAGGATAAGAAGAAAGAAAAGGGACTTCAACAGATAGTCTTACAGAAGTGAACTTTCCAACATAGCAGCCGATAAAATGACAGATTCGAGCACTGATCTTGTATGCCGTTCCCTCTAATAAGAAATCCAGCGAGTCATCACACTATACCGGGATCATGAAAATAATTTCCGGAATTGATCGCATAGGACACATGGGAGCCCTATGGACAGGCACTCGGCTAGAACACTTGCATGCTAACCAAAGGTGCTGGTTTTGTAGCCGCCTTTGGTGATAAAAACAATCAGTAAGTCTTATTGCGCAAGTAGTGTCTTATTGGGGAACTAGTGTTCTAGCTCGATACGCAGCGTTTGATCGCCCAAGCTGCGATCGACAATCCGTTTCAGGTGTGAATCAAGTGGTAGCAAATCTGCGACACTTTTTGGAACAAGTCGACTGGTCTCCCTGGTCCTGCCGGCCTCTCTGGTCCTGCTGGCCTCCCTGGTCCTGCCGGCCTCCCTGGTCCTGCCGGACTCTCTGGTCCTGCTGGCCTCTCTGGTCCTGCCGGCTTCCGAGGTCCTGCTGGCCTCCCTGGTCCTGCTGGCCTCTCTGGTCCTGCCGGCTTCCGAGGTCCTGCTGGCCTCCCTGGTCCTGCTGGCCTCTCTGGTCCTGCTGGCCTCCCTGGTCCTGTTGGCCTCCCTGGTCCTGCTGGCCTCCCTGGTCCTGCCGGACTCTCTGGTCCTGCTGGCCTCTCTGGTCCTGCCGGCTTCCGAGGTCCTGCTGGCCTCCCTGGTCCTGCTGGCCTCCCTGGTCCTGTTGGCCTCCCTGGTCCTGCTGGCCTCCCTGGTCCTGCCGGACTCTCTGGTCCTGCTGGCCTCCCTGGTCCTGCCGGCCTCTCTGGTCCTGCTGGCCTCTCTGGTCCTGCCGGCTTCCGAGGTCCTGCTGGCCTCCCTGGTCCTGCTGGCCTCCCTGGTCCTGCTGGCCTCCCTGGTCCTGCCGGCTTCCGAGGTCCTGCTGGCCTCCCTGGTCCTGCTGGCCTCCCTGGTCCTGCTGGCCTCTCTGGTCCTGCCGGCTTCCGAGGTCCTGCTGGCCTCCCTGGTCCTGCTGGCCTCTCTGGTCCTGCTGGCCTCCCTGGTCCTGTTGGCCTCCCTGGTCCTGCTGGCCTCCCTGGTCCTGCCGGACTCTCTGGTCCTGCTGGCCTCTCTGGTCCTGCCGGCTTCCGAGGTCCTGCTGGCCTCCCTGGTCCTGCTGGCCTCCCTGGTCCTGCTGGCCTCCCTGGTCCTGCCGGCTTCCGAGGTCCTGCTGGCCTCCCTGGTCCTGCTGGCCTCCCTGGTCCTGCTGGCCTCCCTGGTCCTGCTGGCCTCCCTGGTCCTGCTGGCCTCCCTGGTCTTGTTGGCCTTTCCAGTCCCGCTGGCCACATGTGACTTTAACCGTGATAGGCAAGTCGAGAAGACCAGCCCGAGTATGATGACTAGCTGAATTGTGGACATAGGAGTCTCAATGAAGATTTTTACATTTGCAGTCAAACATAGTGGAATTGACCTTGAAATTTTTATAAACGCAAGTACCGAAAGCGAGTAATCAAAGATAGAAGCTATCAACCCCGCATCCCCCCATAAAGACATGTATCGCGCATATACCCATTGATGGCCTAGCTAGTAATAGTTGAAAAGCAACGTAGCAGCGCATGCGCACATCTATCCAGAGAATAAGCCCCCTCCCCCTGCATAACTGTCGTAAAGTGGATCATGACTCGCTTGTTCTTTGGAGTTCCTGTACCGGATTCGGGCAACGCCAGCGACTCCGCACACGATGCACATCAAAAGCATGGCGCTGGAACGCCATTCGATGTAACAACGTCACTTCACACCAGTTGCACTTAAGTGGCTTTTCCTTCAGATGAATAGCATCAAAATGGCGCGTAACACAGCCGGGATCATGAAACATCTGAAAGCGAACCTTGTCCGGAAGCCCTTCACTCGCGAAGCATTGAAAGCAGGCCTCTGGCTGCTTAGCGGTTTCGAGGTATTCCCTGGTAGCACGTAACGGCTTGCCACGTACAGGCGCAGGTACCTTGCATGAGTCGATATCACTTTGGATCTGCTGTAAAGCCTTCGGCTGAGCTATCGGTCCAGCTAGTGAAGCAGATTCAAGAGCTTTCTGCTTAGGCCGGCCCCTCAACGGACCTCCTTCAAGGACATCACAGTACTGCACAACAGCTGCAGTACCTGCATCACGCCGATGCCACTCGTCTTCTAAGGAATTAGAAACTGGGTAGGAAAGAAGGCTCTGCACAAGATGCAACTGAAGGGGGTGCATAGTATCCTCTAAGGACGGGTTGTCTTCTTTCTCTTCCTTGGCCGCGGCACCTGAAAGTTGCGCCTCAATATCCAAAAAGGCTTGCTCTTCATCAAATTTCTCTCGAATCTGATGCCGTAAGCTCCGTTGCAGCCTTTTTCGCGTGTTTCTCACCTCCTTCTCCCGTTGCTGGAGTCGGAGAAGCAAGCCGGGTTGTTGGGTCTCCTCGTATTGCGTGCGGATCTTGCGTAGGTTGCGCCGGGCCTCTTCCATCTCGGGATGATCTTCAACTTGTGCCCGTTGTTGATCAGTCAAGTAGCGTGGACGTCGCGTGTCTCGCCAACGGCTTTGCCGTGTGACAGCTCGCATCAGTTCCACATCTGGGTCGAGGCCACAGATAACCCGGATCATGTCGGTGTCGAGCTGCAGAGGATGATAGTGGTTCAGAAAGGTGCGGGGGCTGGCGTGCTTCATGATCAACATATGTTGCTCCTTGCTCACCCACCCTGCGGACAACATTAGCCACAAGCTAAAAGATAAAATTTACAGTATCCATGGAATAACTCACCACTCTCGTTGAGCACTTTACCACTTCCATACCGGAACTGGTGGGCGTGAAATGCCCCTTTCCATCCGCGAATCTCCCCGAATGTGACCAGCAAGGCGGACATGGTAGACTTGGACATCTGCGTAGTCCGCTGAATGGTTGGAACGCCCTTGACCAACTCCGTTTTGCAAAAGATATACCAATCAGCCTTTTTAGGGTCCAAAGGGACCAGAAGCTGTTCGCAGCCTTTGCTGATAAAGAGTTTCCGCAGCTGAGCTTTCGAGGTCAGCCCCTGATTCCGGAACGCCCGTGCGTGAAACAGGATGCCAAAAAGCAATGTGTGCGGGCATATCACCAGAGAGGGCCCATAAATGATCTCGGGAAGTGCAAAAGTAGTTCTGTTGATCGGTTAGCTGCATGGCCCTGGTCGGAAATTGTGGGTCCTCGGGAGGAATCTACACCAGGAGATGTTCGGGGCATTGAGAGGGAGGGACAGGGATTGCGCTTGCCGTACAATTTCGTCAGACCGAGGAATTTCTTCGTCCCTTCGGCGGTAAGTTCGATCATGGGAACCGGCGGGCCTCCACGAGGATCCTTCTGGAGGGAGATCTGCAGATCCTTGAACTGCAGACTCAACAAGGCGTTTCGCCGGTGCACCGTAAAGATACCGAGGGAGTTGAACAGACACACTTGGATGCGTTGGAAGCCCAGATGAAACTTTTTCTCCTGCGTCGATAAAATCGTTTCATTAAATGGGCCGATATCCTCGATATAAACCGGCGTCTTTTTTGCAGGCTGCGTGTCCAAACCAAACTCTTGTACCAAATACTTCATACCCTATATACAACGTTAAGTCAAGGTCATCAAGCTGAACTAGGATATATTCGAGGTGTCCTGACCCTTCGTATCTCTGAGCCATCTCCATCGTTGATTATAATCTTGGTGAGCTTCTGGTAGTACAAGCGAAGGTTTTTCCAGTCGGTCTCAAGTGTACTAGCTTTGTTGATGCCTGGATAATGTCGACCGTCCTCACTTCGCTCAAGCAGGAGACACCAGCGTAGGAACCGATACATATCATTGTTCGACGCCTGGCGTAGCGCCTCCTCGGCCTTGCGCCATTTTGGCACGTTGGGCCTGTTCCGCACTTGGCTGGCACAGTACCTATAGCTATATTAGGAGATTGAAAAGAAATAGATCTCAATGATTCACTCACCTTTTCCACCGACTCTCAATCCGCTCTCGTCGTTCAATAGTGAGTGGTGCTTTGTCGAAATCCTCGGGGATCTCAGAGAGATCAACTCCGCCTTCATCCAGTGGGTCCTCGTAGAGCTCTCCAGCGGCATAGGATATCTCTGACTCCAGGTCAAGGTTCTCGTCCGATCGGAGACGTTTTCGTGAGATATCGTCCGGCTCTGTCAAGTCCGTTTCGTAAGTAGCGTCGCTCTGCTCGTCCAAGTCGGTGTTGGTGGTGGAGAGATCTTCCTCGCCCCGATTGCTTCCGGGATTTCGATTCCGTCGGGACCGAGTACGCTTCATTTCTAGGACCAGGGGGGACCAAGAGACCAAGGCAGACGTGCAGAGAAAGCGTGCAAGAATGATGCCACGGCACTGAAATACAGCCAAACAGGCGGATGTGCACTAAGGGACGAGTGAACGGCTAGTTCGTGAGGAGGTACACTCGCGATCGAGGGAGTAGCAAAGGCGGAAGAACAAAGGATATAAAGGAGCAGAAGTAGGGAGCCACAGTGGGCGGGTTGGCACCAACGTGACATGGCTGCAGGCCAGGTCCGCTCAACAGGGTGCAGGGAGGCCATTTTTGGCGCCCATGCGGAGCGTCAAGAGTGGAGGGAGACTCGTGAAGGCAACTGAAACGGTCTGCGGGATCCGTGCGGGTGGAGCTGACTGGTGCGTGTTGGTTAGGTGGATGGGACGTGTCGGTATATCGAGATCACGTGTTACCAAATGACGGCCAGAAAAGGCGTCGAGTGACGCCGAAAATGGCAGCCATGTGGTAAGCCCAAACTGTTTAGTAGTAGATTTAGAGGAATATATAGGTCTAATACTTATTTTTTATTAATAAATAGAATTTAGTACTATCCTAGTATTAAATTTTATAACTAATTAGAATAGGCTCTACTAATATATACGAAGTTTATTAGATAATAAGAAATAGGTTAATAGGTTAATCTATAGGCTAACCCGTTAATCTAAATAATTAAGTAAAAGTAATACCCTAAGATTTTTTTTTATCCCTAAAAAATTTTAACCTAACTAACTAATATTATTATTTTATATAAATCTAGAAAAAATATTTAAAATAATTCTTTTATATAATTAAGACTATAATATATTTATATACTAATAAAGAAATATTAGATATTAGATTTATATCTATTTTATTGTTTCTAATATATATATTTTATTTATATAAAAAATAGTAGTACTACTATAGATTATAATATATATTTTTAGGTTTAGTATAAGAAAGGGTTAACTAATATCTTCTTTCGCCTATATCTATCTATTATAAAATATAATTCTTACCTTAAAATATTAAATTAATAAATTAATATATTATATATTCTAAATATATTATTACTATATAATATTCTTTTTATAAAGAATTATAATTATAAATTATATTAGAACAAAAACAGTATTTAATAATAGTATATTCTTAAAAAAGGTAAGTAAATTATCTATCCTAATTAAGAAATTTATACTAAAATAGGTCAAAAATAGGCTAACCCGTTAACCTGCGGGTTAACCTATAGGCGGGTCAGGATTTTATTAACCCAACCTATAGGTCGTGGGTTTGGGTTATAGGTCAAGATCTTTGACCCATAGGACGGGTCTATCCATGTCTAAGTAAGGTAAACAAAAACCCTATAAAAAGATATCGCGTTAATATATCTATATTATAATAATAAGATAAACGCGTTAGTTAAGGCTATCTAACCTTAAGAGAGGGGATAATTATAAAGGGTCTACTAAGATAGTAAGATATAAGATTATTCCTAATTAACGGAAGGGGTAAATCAGGTAATATCACATGATCTTAAAGGAAGTTAGAACTCGCTACTTAATCTACTCTATAGTAGAATAATCACAATACACAACAGAAACCTAGTTATTTATATTATCGATAATATATAGAGATATGAAGATATTATATAATAAATTAATACTCTCGTATCTAGCTAGCAAGATAAGATTTAGTATTAACAATAATAAAGATATACTATTTCTCCTACTCCTTCCCCTTGTTTCTTTACTTAATCGATAGTTTTTATACCCTGCCAAGTATATTCTTTACAGAGAATCCATATAAAATACTAGAAAAATATTCTAGCAAAATAGATATACTATTAGAAATCTATCGAAAATTAAGTAGATTAGAATATCTCCGATTTATTACAAACCGCTAACTGGTTACGGTAAGTAAGGTCCTTAAAGGTGATATTTCTCTTAGAATACTACGAGCCTCAAGTATGATCCGTAACTGTACTAACGCCGCGCGGGGCCTTAGGTAGACTCGGGTCTCTAGGATATATATAAGGTATAATAGTTAGGGCGCCGATTAAGTTAGTTATTTAGGGATCAGAGATCACTAAGTAAGCTCCTAAGATCGTTAAGGTTTTTAGCTTTATAGTCGAACTATAAATTAATACTTAAATAATAATAATACGATTAATTATAAAGACTAGATATATTATAATAAATAAGTATTCTTATATATCCGTTAGTCGTATACTATAGTACTGGTTCTAGTATATAATATATAGTATATCTATAGTCCTTTTTATATACTATCCTATATACTATATTATATAACCCTTTATAGCTTAGTTCCTTCTTTTTATAGGGCTGATTAGCGTTACTTCTTCTGTCTATACCGTATTAACGTTTAGTTATAACGAGGTTCGTAATATTATCCCCTCTTCTTAGGTTTTTATCTCTAAGAATATAAAAAGGCTATTTCCCCTTTTTTCTTTTAGTATTTCCTCTTCTTTCCTAGTATATAATATCTTTTTACTATATCTCCGAAACGTGATAAATACGTTAATAACTAATATTCATCTATTAGGATTAAGAGGACTGGTTATCTTATTAATTCCTTTTATAATTTCTGTTTTCTTCGCGGAAAGGTATATATTATAAGTTTATTAGCTCGAAGTAAAAAATATTCGGCTTATATATTTTATAGTTATAAATATAAAAAGTAGTTTTATAACGATAAAGAGTAGGATAATATATAACGTAACGAGTAAAAGATTATAGCCAACCTTAAAATTACTTAAAAATAATTTCTTTAATATTTATAGTAAATAAATAAGATATTAGCGAAGATTTTTTACCTTTAAAAGTATTAAAAATTTCTTAAGGATTATAGTAGTTAGATATTAGATCATAATTAATTAGTATTAGATCTTTTTAACTCCGAGGATCCTCTTTCTATTACTAAATTATATAATTTCGATCGGCTAGCTAAATAGTAGGAAATCTAGTAACTCGTAGCTACGTTAAACGACGCTAATTTAATAAAGATAATAGCTTCTTTTAATTAAGCGCCTTTATCTTTTTAGGGCGATACTAGTATCGGCGCTTCTTTTATTATCGCTATTAGAGCATTTTCTTCGCCGTAAGATAGCACTATTTAACTATCTAATAGTAGCTCTTTAAATATATAATAGGTTTCTATATATTTTCTAAGATAAGATACCCTTTTTATTTTATAAGAAATTATTATTAACTATCGTATTAGCGGTTATCTATAATTATCTTAACTTTATATTCGTCTTTAGTTTCTTCTTTAATCTCTATATTAATAGTAAGTTTAGCGTTTTTTAGTATAGGTTTAATTAATAAGATATAAAATATTAGATAAGTTCTTTTTATATTTTCTAGTAGTCTTAGATAGTAGTTAACTAGTCCTATCTTTTCTTTAATCGTAAATAGCCCTAGTTTCTTATAGTTAAGTTTATCGCTTAGTCGTTTAGTTCTAATATTTTATCGTAAGAGGTAGATCTTTTTCTCCTTTTTTAAGTTAGGGCTATCCCGATAGCGTTGATTGTAGTATATTCTTATATATAGGTTTAGGAATTTAATATCTTAAACTATTTATATATAAAGTTATTTAACTCCGGTAGCTAATAATCGCGTTAATTCTACTATATTATATTTATTCCGTGGTTCTCCGATTAACTTAGGATTATATTTATAGTTTACGAAGAATAGTGTTTCTTTCGTGGTTATATATATTACGTTATTATATATAAATTATATAATTAGTAGTAATCCTACCTAATTATCCTATTAATAGTTTATATAGTATCTTAGGTATTATTCTAATATTTAGTTAATTTATTCGGTCTATCTATTCGTTTATAGATAATATATAATAAAGAGTCTATATTTAATATCTATTTAATCCGCGAATAATTGCTATATATTAGATATAAATAATTTATCTTAGTCTAAAGTAATTTTATCTAGTATTCCGTGGTTAGTAAAAATATAACGAAATAATATATTCGCTATACGATTCGCGTCGATATTCTCTATTATTATAATTAATATATATATTTTATAAATTAATCGACTATAACTATAATTATATTATATTCTTCTGATTTAGGTAGTTTTGTGATAAAGTCTATAGTTATCTATTCCTATAATTATATTAGTATACTTAGAACTTATATTTCTTTTTAAAGAAATTATTTTAGTATTTTATCTCGTTAATATATATTATAGTTTTTAATATAGTTCTTTATTTTTCGGTATATATTTAGAAAGTAATAGTTATAAGAGATCTATTCTATGGTTTTCTCGATTCCTAGATATCTATATATAGGTAAGTTATGATATTTTAGAATAATTTCTTTTAATAGTAGTTATAGAATATAGATTAGTCTATAAATAAGGACGAGTCTTTTATTGTTTATAGTACTATATTAATTAGTAACTAGGATTTTCTATATAGATTCGTCTTCGATAGTGGCTCTATAAATCTATTTAAGCTAATTATTATTTTCTAGTTCGTTTATCGCGGAGAGTATCTATCGATTATATATAATTTCTCTTTATTCGTTAATTATTAAGATAGTAGGTTCTGTTTCTTTAATTCCTAACTCGTAATCTAGTTATCGGCTAAATACATCGGCGATTATATTTTTAGTTTTTTTATAATATATAATCCTAAAATTATACTATAAAAGAGTTTTAGCCTATCTAATTTATCGTTAAATAAGTTTCTTTATTATTATAAAAAATATTAGATTATAATAGTCTATTCTAAGTATTATAATATATTTCGCTCTTTCTAGATATACTTTTTAGACTTAAAATACTAATATAATAGCTAGTAGTTCCTTATTATAAATATTATAGTTAAGCTCTACTAGAATTATTTTCTTAGATTAAAACGTAACTAGTTATAGTATATTTTCTTTATTAGGTTAGAGTAGCTATACTTCTAATATATAATCTAATACGTTAGTTTCTAAAATATATAGTTATTCGTAGTTAAAGAC